TTTTTTTTTTTTTTTTTTTTTTCTTTTTTTTTTTTTTTTTTTTTAACTTTCAATCATCGCTCAAAAGTTTATATTTACTTATGTACCGCTATTCTATAGGATTCTCAACATACTCAATACAAGTATCAACATACGGGCATTTCATACACTTCTCTGCCGGAAAGGAGATCCCACTTATATTTCATGAACAGGCCCGGCAGGTCGGAACTTTTGAGATCCCTTGTATTAGGTAGTCCAAACCAAGAATTATTTTCGACTATTTTAAGGACACTCACTTGATAGAACTTTTTAACACAAGAATTTTGATACCTGGTTTATTACAATAGCTCAATAAATAAAAAAAAGTTATGAAGTTTCAAAATTCGATAAAAATCGATACAAAATTGGCTATTTTTCATTTTGTCAAATGGTCCATTTTTGTGGAACCAAAACTCCTAAACTAATAACACTAGAAGTCCCAAATTCGGTCTACTTGCTCAAACGTTTATATATTTAGAGCCCCTTTTTTCAGGTATCTATAAGCAACCATTAAAAAGTTATAAAGCTTAAAAAAACAACAACAAAAAACGTGTTATTCTTACTTTTTTATATTTTTTGCAATGTTGAAAGCACACTCATCTTCAATTATTGATAAAAAATCTTCTAATGAACTTAAAAAGACATATTATATATCAAATTAAAGAGAATTTTAAGCTGCACATAGTGATATGATAATTAACAGAATCAAAATACAAATTAATAGTGAACCGACCGCATGTTCTAGTTCTTGAACTTGACAGTTATCATACGAGACAGCCGCCGGGAACAGCATCGTCGCAGGCGCCCTGGAATATCTGCAAGGGAGGGGGCCTCCGTGTGCTAGATAGTCGGCTTCCGTACTCATTCAAATCACATATGCGCGCGGACAGTGGCATAGGTAGGGATTTGGGGGCCCGGGGGGCTTGGCCTCTTTAGGGGCCCCTGCATTTTGACATTCGACATTATTTAATGTAAAGAAAAATTTTTAGACACGCCTTTGGGGGCCTACCTCAAGTAGGGGCCCGGAGGGAATTTCGTATTTGGACCCCCTCCCCTAGCTACGTCACTGGTCTACAGACAGTCCTACACCCTACCTGCCTGACTTAAACAATAGGCCTACATACGACCCTACACCCTACCTGTCTGACTTAAACAATAGGCCAACAGACAGTCCTACACCCTACCTGCCTGACTTAAACAATAGGCCAACAGACAGTCCTACACCCTACCTGCCTGACTTAAACAATAGGCCAACAGACAGTCCTACACCCTACCTGTCTGACTTAAACAATAGGCCAACAGACAGTCCTACACCCTACCTGCCTGACTTAAACAATAGGCCTACATACGACCCTACACCCTACCTGTCTGACTTAAACAATAGGCCAATAGACAGTCCTACACCCTACCTGCCTGACTTAAACAATAGGCCAACAGACAGTCCTACACCCTAGCTGCGTACTTGATTGATTAATATTATAGATGTCTCCGAAACAATGTAACCGTTAAACCTGAGTTCAACCCTCACACTTGGCGGTCAGTAGTAGCATTCATATTCATTTGGCTTTGTGTGTATGGGGGAGGGGTGTAGAAAGGATAGAAGCCACACCAAAAGGAAAACATATATACGAGAGGCTACTGTGAGCTAATACGTATTGAGTAGATTAAACCTAAAATATCTTCGTCTTTTTTTGTTTCCACCCAGCATCAAGTGGCAATCAAGAAATGCACCAAGACCGAGGATACTTTGATTGGATTGAAAGATGCCTACTATTTGATTCCAGCCATGCAGCAGCCGGGTGACACACCAACCCCCAACCCAACCAAGCACATCCCGGAAATCCCCAAACTCATGAGGAGAACCACAAAGAAGATCACGGAAACCCCCAACCCCAGGAAGAAAGTCAAGGAAATCCCCAAACTAATGAACAAAATCACCAAGAAGT